AAAACCACTACGGTCTCGAAAACCTCGGTTCGTTATTGATGTCACATCATTGCCCCCCAAGGCCAGCACAATGATAACAGTGTCCTGGCCCATTCATCTCATGGACCACTCCATTCTGCATCCCTAAACCCTCTGCAGTGCCTGTAGGATACAGGAATTTCTTCCCATCTCCAAAACACTGGGATCTTGGGGTTAAGACCATAAGAATGGTCATACTGGGTCAGATCAAAGGTCCATCTAGCCCAGTATCCTGTCTTCCGACAGTGGCCAATGCCAGGTGCTTCAGAGGGAATGAGCAGAACAGTTAATCATCAAGTGATCCATCCCGTCACCCATTCCCTGGCAAACAGAGTCTAGGGACACTTCAGAGCATGGTTTTACATCCATGCCCATCCTGGCTAATAGCCATTGATGGACCTATCCTCCATGAACTTATCTAGTTCTTTTTTGAACCCAGTTATACTTTTGGACTTCACAGCATCCCCTGGCAATAAGTTCCACAGGTTGACTGTGCATTGTGTGAAGAAATACTTCCTTTTATTTTAAACCTGCTGCCTATTAATTTCATTGGGTGACCCCTAGTTCTTTTGTTATGTGAAGGCGTGAATAATATTTTTTTTTCCACTTTCTCCACACCACTCCTGGTTTTATAGACCTGTATCATATCCCCTTTAGTCATCTTTTTTCCCAGCTGAAAAGTCCCAATTTTTTAAATCTCTCCTCATATAGAAGTTGTTCAATACCCTTCATCATTTTTATTGCCCTTTTCTGTACCTTTCCTAATTCCAATATATGTTTTTGAGTTGGGGCAACCAGATCTGCACGCAGTATTCAAGATGTGCGTGTACCATGGATTAATCTAGAGGCAGTATGTCTTGTTCTCTAACCCTTTGCTAACGGTTCCTAACATTCTGTTCACTTTTTTGACTGCGGCTGCACATTGAGTGCATGTTTTCACAGAACTATCCACAATGACTCCAAGATCTCTTTCTTGAGTAGTAACAGCTAATTTAAACCCCATCCTTTTATATGTATAATTAGGATTATGTTTTCCAATATCCACTACTTTGCATTTGTCAACATTGCATTTCATCTGCTGCTTTGTTGCCCAATCAATCACCCAGTTTTATGAGATCCCTTTGTAACTCTTCGCAGTCTGCTTTGACTTAAATATCTAAACTTTGGTCTTAACAAAAAGACCAAAGTTAAAGCTAAAAAGCATTCCTACAGCAGCTGACAGACCTTGTCCAAGAGGAGGGGACAATACAGGATACCCATATGGAGTGACCTTCCGTGGCAGTTGGAAATGGCGGGAGGACAGAATGTTGGGGCCTGAAGGTTCCATGGCAGTTGAAGGAGACATTTGCTGTGCCAGTGTAACCCCCTTTCCTTGATGGGCTGTTGTGGAAGAGATCCTTAGTTACTGCTAAATTAAAACCAGTTAGACTTGTTATAGGAACCCAGTGTTACTAGACAGGTACCAGATCAGCCCACAGTAGGGCAAGCAGGCTCCAGATTAGGCCAGATGCCACAACTGTCTTGGGAAGGTCAGATGAGCTTCTCCTGGGCATGCTCAGAGTCAGCAGGGAAAGAGCCATACCAGGCATCCATGTTGACAGTACTTCACATGCCTCCTTTACGGTGGTAGCAGTTGCCCCTAGAAATACAAGTGGGGGGTGACAGAAAGGCCAGACACACTAGAGAGAGCAGCTCTAGCTATGGGGCCACCTGGCCTTGCACTTTGTAGACCCTGAGCAAGGACTTGAACTGAGATGCTCAGGAACTGACAGGGGGAATATGTTCACTGGCAAAGCATGTGCCATCTATCCCTCCAGTGCCTGAGCTGCATGGAGAATAACCTACTACTGCTACCTGCTAAATGAATCTTTTAGCTCATAGGGATAGAGGCCTGTGTCGTATTTAGTGGCCAAAGATCCCAGCTTCGGCCTGCCTACCCATGCTATGGGGTGGGCACACAAGAGTAGTGATCAGAAAGGAGGAGGAGAAATCCAAAAGGACCCCCATACATAGAGCTGGACAGGAAATTGTTTTCCGTCCCATGAAAATTTTCAAATTTTTTGAATTTTTTCCCATCCTGAATTGGGATGCAAAGTCAAAATTTTGAAATCTTTAGTGAACTGAAAATCTGGAGGGGGGAAAAAAAACAAAACAAAACAGGTTCAGGTTTCATTTTGATAATTTCATGATGTTTCATTTTAATTTTGACCATTTTTTGTAATATTCCCCACTATAATTAGCTTAAATTTCCAAATGAAAAGTTGCTTTGAAATGGAAACATTAAAAATTTAATTAAACAAAAATCAGGAAAAAAAAAAGTAGTTTGAACAATTTGAAAACGGTTGGGTTGGTTTTGTTTTTTCGGTCAAGAAATTTGTCAAAAATTTCCCACAAATAGTTTTGGTTTCAGCAAATAGGCATTTTTGATGGAAACATTTTCTCAACATATTTCCAACCATCTCTAGTCCTCTGCAGATAACAGAAAGCTAAATCTGACAAACAGGGGGAGCAGATTTAATTTACATAATGTTAATAGTTCTATTGCATTCATCACCAACACGTGTGTTAGACACACACACACACACACACACACACACACACACACACACACACACACACACACAGAAGACGCCAGTTGGTTACGTTTTAAACCGTACGGA